ATTAGAAGGTTCTGGATGGCGCATAAAGTGCTGGTTTTTTACTCTTCCTCATCGGTGGTGCTGGGAACTTGCACGTGCTCGGAGACCCAAAATATGGTTGGGGATAATGACTTCAAAACGGACTACCAAAGTTCCAATAGTTGCTTTGTATGTTTAAAATTGATATAGGTGCATTATAATAGCTTATTAATAGGCAAGAATGCGCCATTTGCATCAAATTTGTTTGTGTCAACAAGGGTGGTCGCCTTATAGAGTCAAAACTGTAGGGTAGGGGTGATACTACTAGTCCGAAAAAGTACTAATATAATGATCTAACATTTAAAAAAATCTCAGCGTCCAGTATTGCCTTGGCCGTTCCAGGGGGCAGAGTGTCCGGGTACACAGTGTGTCCGGCTAGGCCGTGAACCTCAGTACATGTCTTTTTCTCTGCAGATGCCGATTTCCTTTCCCGAGTCCTGCGATCCAAGCCATGCTCTTGACACGGCCAGAATCTACTTTTGGGGACAACTGTCCTTCATCCATCGCAAAGGACACTATACCAGATCCTGAACTGAATATCCTCGCAATGACCTTCCAAATCCAAGAGAACTTGCGGTCCTTGTGCTGTATCCTCTCCGTTCGGCGGTTCTTCCAGGTCTTTCGTTCTCTACTGAAGGACCATCCAAGCAGATGTGATTTCGAATGGGATGAGTGGGGTCCAGACGTCACCCGATGGCTGCCCTATGCTGGAGTTGAGCCAACTGGAGGTCGTAACACCTTTGGATCGCGGATGCTTGCCTGGGGCGCTGCTTACTACTTGGTTCCAGGATCCCATGTCGGCCCAACCCTCATCCTTCTGGATTTTAACCCGAGGCCGATCAAACGAGGAGCCACTACAAACGTCGTAGGGTCATCTCATCAGCTTGTCGTCACGGCAGAGACACAATGGACACATCCACAAACTGGGGTCTTAGTCAAGTCTCGTTTACCCTATCGTGCGTTTGCTCGGCCTTGGCTTCCGCCGTGCTTTGGGTATCGATTTGATGGCAGCACTATCATCGGTAGAAAGGTACGTCTTTCCCTGATAACTTTGAGGATCCTTCTCTGATGTTTATTAACTCGAAGGGCCATGAGGATTGGTTCTACTCGTTCTTGCCTTTACCGTCCGAAGAGAAACAGGAACCAAGAGCCGAGGAGACTGATTGGTGAGAAGTAAAAACATGCGCATTTTGATTGTCGTTGTGCATCTCATTTACAGGAATAGTGTGTAGTTTATATCGGATAGTATTTGTATCTCGGGGTTTTGTGTAGTAATACCGTGTCAAGATAATATCCTGAAACGAGGCGTCTATTATTGATAGCTCCCGTCTCTCCTGCCCGAAACTACGCCTACATCTCCCATCTTTGAACCCGCCCACAACCATGGATCAAGCACCAAAGAGTAAAAGAAGATCACTTATCGGCATAAAGTCGCTTCTGAAGCCATTCAAGCAATTCACAATCAAATCCAAGCGCTCGAAGAAGTCTACACCCCTCGCAGGTGGCTCGGTCGAAAACTCTCAGTCTGTTAGCGATTCGCTCGCAGAAGTGGCTTCCGCCAACTCTTCTACACGTATTTTGACAGTCTCACTACTCTATTTACCCAACGAAATTTTGGAACACGTATTCTTTCTACTCCATCCATTAGAGGTTGTAAAGTGTCGGCTGGTAAGTTCTCCACAGACCGCCGATGCATAGCTTGTTGACTGATTGAAATCCACAAAGTTAAGCAATCATTTCAAACAAATTATCGATGGATCAATTGAGCTCCAGCTTCGTATCGATCTGGCAATTGACGGCTATCTCCTCGGTTATAGGGGACTAGACCGTGCCAAAAATGTTAGGGAGTTTCATGAAAAGAGACGAAAGGCCTTAGAGAGCATGAAGTACATCACAAGCTGGCACGAACCCCTTGCTCGTGGAGACCTTGGCCATTTCGAGGCAAGCAATACTGCGCCTTACTGGGTAACCGGACACTTAACCTGGTTGTCATTTTTGTACGACATCACACGTACACAATTTATA